CCGGCATTGTCGTCTCGAAAGGTATAATTCCAAATTCCAATGAGATTTCTAACCTACAAACGTCGGAAAAATCGTCTCGATGTCGAGTCGTATGTCGAATCGTGATTTTAGAATCCCCGGCCAGATAATTATTTTTAAAATTTGACATATTTGACACTAAGACAGGCGTCTCAAGCCATGATACTGGAACTGTGTTCTTTTTTCAACTGTCAGTACTGTATTTACTGGGAAGCGTTCCAAAATTAAAATGCAGAGTACTGATTTACTGAAAAAATGACGTATGTCGTCATCAATACGTCACTAATTTATTACTGTGCTTGCTGTATCCGGGAATAAGCTACTGTAATTCAAAAGTGGTAGGGTGTTGATTGTTTTGATACGTTCAAGAACACTAAAGAATTACGTACTAGGTCACCAACGCGTCAAATAATAGTACTGTGCTTGCTGTGTCTGGGAAGCTACTGTAATCCAGTAAAAGTGGTGGGGTGTCAATTGTTTTGTTTGGAGGAGAGGAAATTATGCAACAATTATAACTTTAACATTGAATGTTGTATTTTTTTGCACAAGGATAAAAACATTATAATTTATTTGGTGTTATTTGTTATTTTCAATATTTAAGTTAAATGTTATTCGATTTCACATTAGTTGGTTTAATTCTTTTATTAAATATTGATATTATAACAACAAAACAAATAGCTATCACTTTATCTTGTGTTTTATTTCATATTCATACTGATTTGATAGTAGAGTCAAAGAGTACTAGTAGAGTAGGCAACTTACTTAAACTTAATTTAAATTAATAGAGCCATAAAAGTAGACAGTTAAATAATAATTCTATTATTTGATGTAGCAAATAAAAGTTAAGAAGGCAAATATCACTTTTTTGGCTATTTGCACAGCTATAACTTTTATTCATTTCTACAAGAGTCACATTCAAAGCTCCAGACTAAAATATCCCTTAAGTTATAAGTTTTATCTTGTGATTTATTCCATATATTGCTTGTTAAGCTACATTCAGTAGGTAACTTAATTTAAATTGATTGAGCTATACTGGATATTTCTGGATAATGGGATCAAACTTCTAGGAGAAAGAGTACCCATTAAAATAAATTAAAAATTAATTAAAGGGGGTGTGCGCCAGAAAAAAAATCTAAGAATAACAGTGAAATCCGCACCTCTCTATGACAAATAATACCGCAGATATGGCTCTATGAAGGTACCGCATCTCACCCTATGACGTCACGAAAGCTCAAGCGACGCACGAGAAAGTGGATTTAATTAAATTTACATAATGTTTTTCCTGTGTTACCTGCAATAATCTAAACAAAAACCACTCACGCGTGCCGGGCACAATCAAATTAACAATGCAGAGCGCCGCTGGACGAAGTTTTCGTGACGTCACGAGAGCGTCGTCCACAATTTAAAGCGGTATATCTCAGCGATGGTTTATCGTAGAATAACGAGGTTTGAACAGTTATTCTTAGATTTTTTTACACTAAAACTTTAATTTTTGGCGCACACCCCCTTTAATAATTAGAAACATCAGCTGCTTTCGGGTGCCACCCTTTGAGCCCTCCCGAGTTACTCCGAAGTACCTACTCCGACTACAGTTTGACGCGTTCGCAAAACACATGGAGTAACGGGAGTGTTCAGAGCTTCGCTTCGCACTATGGTTATCTAAACACTCTGGGGGGCTTTATTTGAAATTGATGCAGCTTTGCGTACGCGCAAATATGACGCGAATGACGTCAGTTGCGATTGAAAAAGTGCATGTCAAATAAGCTGTGCACCAATAGGGAACAATCATATTTCTCAAAGTATTTTTTTTCTTATTGCTTATGTTTTCAAATATAAAATGTTTATGTTTTTTTTTGTTTTATGTCCTCATTGAAATAAAAAAATTATTTTGAATTTCAAATTATTTTCGTTGGCGCGAAAACGATTAGCTTCAAGATGGTGGCATTTGTGACGTCAACTGTCTGTAACACAACGTCAAGGTCTGTTCTCACAAGAGCCTTTGATACTTTGCAAACTGTCTGAAAGAATCGCTTAGCTTGAACCTTCGACTGCAGTGAAACTTGAAAGCGGTTATTTATGCGGTATTTCCATATTTAGTGCCATATTGTGACATTTTGTGTTTCAAATAGTTCATTATGGACCATGGTTGATACAGGATTTACAAAAGCGCAGTCTGACAATCTTCCCTCTATAGACCCGTTTATGGTGGTTCAATATCAGTCGTGGCGTGACGTGAGCTGATCGTGGACCAATCGTTCCACGATTCAAGAGTGAACCACGAAAGTGTGGACCGTGGAATTTCGGTCAGTGTAAACCAATGAAGTGTAAACTACCCTTAACCTTAAATTACGAACAGTTGACGTCACTGGAAGCGGCCATGTTAAACGTAACTTTTTCGCGCGAAACTTTTCAATTTAAAACTAATAATAGACCTATCTCGCATAATTAGAAAAAGAGAGCTTAATTGTTATAAATACAAGTTAGAAAGCAATAAAAGATGACATGCGCGCGCAACTCGTAGGTTGCAGTGTAGCCAGATTGTATTGTTGCAGAGCAAATATAGACAATACAAATCGAACATTATAACATTAAAGAAGTGATATAGTGTCAAGTGTTTTACAACGCTTTAAATCAGACCAAAGAAGAGCCTTAAAGTGGATGAACATCGTTTGCACTTTTATTTTGATAAATGTTTCATCCGGCAACATCGCTCAATGAAATTGCAAAGGAATATGTCAAGTATAATCTAACAACCTTAAACGAAACTGCGGTGAGTTCAAGTAATATGTAAAGTATTAATTTACTCTTTGTCAAATTACACGTTACAAAAAAAGAAGGAACGATTCATTCTGAACTGGCCCCTGAATAAGAATATAACGCAAGCCTGTCACAAACTTGCTTCTCATTGAACGCTCACCTGCAGCCTACAAGCGACGCGCGCAGTCCAGGTAATAGGAGATCGGTCTATTGCCATGTGACTATAATGTCCATAAATTTAATACAAAACTGCTCATATTCAATATTTTACACAAAAATGTGCACCATAAAAACAAAATAAGCCATATTTATTTCTTATGAAAATTCCCTATTATCAATCACGAATGACGTCATTGGCGTGTACGCAAAGATGCATCTTTTAAATAAAGCACCCCTGCACCCGAAAGCGGCTATGGGTACGCATATGCTTAGTTTTTGAGATAAGGGCTGTTAAAAGTTTGAAAAAAAAAAAGTTTTTCACTGAGGTTTATTAGCTGAAAAATCCCTTTCCAGATTTTCTTTAAACTTGGAAGGTTTGTTTGTAATAACAAAACAAAAGGTATCTTTGGTTATTTATTCCAGTGACCTTCAGAGGCCAGGGCAACTACGTTAATAAAAGCATTGTATTACTATAATAATTTACAGTAATAATAACCAACTATTATAGTTATTTATGTATCAAGGGAATTATGCAGGTGTTAATACCCCAGGGCAACGTTTGTGTCCCGAGGGCCTCCGGCCCGAGGGACACCAATTGCCCGTGGGTATTAACTCCTGATAATTCCCGTGGTACATAGATAATTTTATATCCTACTGAATTTACTGTATTCTGTCTATTTTTATAAAGGAATAAGCCATAAATCAAAATTTCTATTTTTTGTCAAAGTGTTACCTATTCAAGGTAAAAGCGGGAGTTATGGAAATCCTTAACTCCTTTGGGAGTTATGATATCCTTAACTCCCTTCCTTAACTCCCTTGGGAGTTATGAAAATCCTTAACTCCCTTGGGAGTTAAGACCCTGTTAATGATTATCGTAACCAAGGTATATGGTTTTAATAGTTAACCTTGCGTTCGGTATTTTGCTCAAAGAGCAGAGCGTGCTGAGCGGAGTCGTGATCACGTGACCAGTGAGCGATCAGAGCAGTTGAGCGCTGTATAAAAGTGCAAGAAATATTAATAAACGAACGCGAATGAGACTGCACCGAGTACACTTTTTAAATAAACGAACGGTAAAATCAAGCTCGGAGAACTCGGACCAAAATAACGAACGCAGGGTCAGTAGGATATAAAATTATTTATGGAGAAAGCTTGAGAGAAACAAAAAATATAAAATCATCATGTTGTTAGGTTAGGTCCGCTATGTCGCCGGTCAAATGTCAATAATTACTGGAATTCGTTCCAAAATCAACCAGTAATACAGCTGCTGGTTGAAAAAGAAACGAGAAATACAGTAAAAACAGCACAGTAGAAATTCAGTACTGCCAGTTAAAAAAAGAACACAGCCTGGAACGGTACAAATCTACAGTGACTCTATTACCCACAGTGGCGACAATTGCTGTCTTATTTTTGATTGGTTCTAAAATCCCATATATTTATATTGAGAACGCGGCCATCTTGTTCCCATCTATTGCTTAATTGCTTATTTCAAATATGAATATATGGGATTTGGGTGAACATCCATCATAAAACATGGAAACAACGTATTTGATGGACCTAATAATAGTCATCAAATACGTCGATTTCATTTTTTTATGAAAGATGTCCATTTAAAACCTATAAATTCACATTTAAAAGTAACAAGAGGTTGGGAACAAGATGGCGGCGGGACCTCTATTGTCGCCACTGTATGTAAAGGTTTATTTAGCCACTGTATACAAATCTAGCGCGTGGCGCCCCCCCACTGTACCCCGAGGTGCTCCAGAGCGCGCCAATGTGCATACTGAAAGCAGCTATGAGTACTAGGTTTTAAACCATCGGGGTCGACTAACACCGGAGCGAGTAGCTCAAGTGTTTCAAACTCTTGAAAGGAATACAACTATTGATGACGTCACGCGCAGACCTCGATGTATTGCGAACTCAATTTTTTTGACCAATTTGTTTCAAACTTGGATAATGCATTTTTACGCCAAGAAAGAGTTCGCCACAGACCACAGACCACAATTTCCATTTCGTCTGTTCCAAATAAGGGCGAAAATTGCTATTTGTAAAAGAACTGAAAACAATAATAAGAGTTTCTCATTTTATGTAAACAACCACAGCACACAAATACATAATTTAAAAAAAGAAAAGTATAAAAATAGTATAACAATTATAGTGATTTTTACAAACAGAAACTATAAAACATAATCCATTATTTTAATGCTCCCAACAAATCCTAAATACCTTATCGTCTAGAGATAATGTAGAATGGTAGAAACTCCCATATAAACCGTGATGGAGAACGCAATACCCCAAGACAACGCTCTAGCAGGCTGAGGAATCACAACCACTGCATAAACAATGGTGTGAATAAATCTGCATGCTGTAAACACTCTTATCAAACTCGAGGCTAAGAAAACGCTGGGGTTGGTGGTGAGGTACGCAAAGCAAAGGGCGAAGAACACTGGAATGTTTTCTAGATCATTAAGATGCGCCCTAAAACAACAAATAATCAACATACAAATTGGAATTAAAATAATAACTACTGACCTTCTGACTCTTTCAACATCCTCATGGCTTTTTACTTTTACTTTCAAATGTACAGCATCTTCAGGGCTACAAAATGCCTGTAATAAATAAACGAAAAATAAGCTGTTGTTGAGGGGCAAAAAAAATAGCTAGACCTTGCTTTTAAACCTTTGCAGGCCAGTCAGTACTGACATAACCAACATTTTCAAAGATAAAAGGGCCACATAGAAGAAATATGTACGGAAAACTGGTCGTTCCAATAAAGTATCAAATCCAGGAATTGCCATGTTTCACTTTTTAAAAATAAATGTACTGGAGCAAATAGTAAAGTACTTTGTGGTATGTATACCTCGAACGAACCAAATGAATACCTAATTGAATTTTAATGTATTGACCTTTATGTGCCCTTTAATAAAGTCTATTATTCTTGTTTGGATATGTTACTGTAAACTGATTAATTAATTTATTAATTAGTGCGCGGCTAGGTTACTAATTGGTTAATTGATGTACATTGATAATGAATTATGTATTCAGAATGATCAAATTATTTGCAATAGAAATTTGTTTCATGGTTAGTTTGGTATTAGTGGAGAGGACATTGAAGATTAACTTAACAACACTTTACCTTATTTATAATCCTTTGGAAAGCAGTTAAAACAGACATTATCAACATTTTTAAAGATAAAACTGCCACATAGAAAAAATAGATTTGGAAAATTGGTTGTTCTAATAATGAATCAAATGCTACTTGGGCCATTTTAATTATTTTCTCTACTCTATAGTCTATAGTCAACAGTCGTCCAACTGGTACTAAAGTTTGAATACAAGTTTTTAAAAAATACAATGATATTTTGATGATTTGGCCAAATATGCATTAATGTATGATGATTATAGATAATTATTATTTTTGTATGTCATACAAAGTTGTAACAGAGGCTATTAATAAGATGTAATTTGACCTTTGGATATTATAATAGTGGATGAGGTCATTTGAACTTATTAGATGTTCTACTAGATTTTATATAGGGAACACTAAACAAAACATGATTGTATTATGGTATATTCTGTATTCAGTATAATACTAATTAAATATACTCACATAACTGGAAAGAAAAATACAGTACAAAAATAACAAAAAAGTAAAAAACAACACTTTTTGAAACAAATTCTGAAAACTTAAAGATAATGTAGAATGGTAGAAATTCCCATATAAACGGTAATGAAGAAAGCGATACCCCAAGACAATCCTCTAGCAGGTTGAGGAATCACAACCACTGCATAAACAATAGTGTGAATAAATCTACATAAAGTAAAAACTCTTATTAAAGTCGATGCTAAGAAAACGCTGGGGTTGGTGGTGAGGTAGGCGAAGCAAACGGCGAAGAATACTGGGATGTTTTCTAGATCGTTAAGATGTGCCCTGAAATAACCAATTAATTAGTAGCTACATTTGGTATAAATAACTTTGATACTGACCTTCTGACTCTTTCAACATCCTCATGGGTTTTTACTTTCACTTTAAAACCAGCAGCATCTTCAGGGTTTACATATGCCTATAAGCAATAAAAAAATATAAGTAGTAGGTATATTTTAAAAGCAAAAAAAATAGCTTGTACCTTGGTGATAAATCTTTTCGCACCAGTCAGTAATGACATACCCAACAGTTTCAAAGATAAAAGGCCCACATAGAAGAAGTATGTACGGAAAACAGGTTGTTCTAATAGGGCATCAAATGCAGGAACAGCCATGTTGAACTTTTGAAAATAACGTGCACTGCAATCTACCTCAAACCTCAAACTAATGTGATAAATTGTATATATTTTGTTAAGTAGGTATTCTTTATTGCGCTCTCTGGTATTGCGCCGCCACGTCACCGATTCGTTATTTGATTATTAAATTTAAACAGGAATGATTCAGCATGATATACCTATTAAGTTTATTGACCTATTAGATTTATTTGAGAGAGAAAAACAGTTTGTTTTAGTGCCGAAATAGTATCCTTATCATCTTCTATTTGCTGTGAGAAAAGAACAGACTACTCATAATACTCTGTAGTAAGAGTAAGTGCGCACTAATGTTTGTATTCAAAATGTTTTTGTTATTAGTTTTGGATAAATAGCTATAGACAATATATAGGGTTGTTCAAAAAAATTCAGAATTTTGTGTTTGACCTGATTTTTTTTTTATTTCTCACTGTATCCTAGAACACACCTTTGTACGTAGTTTAAGTCCGGAGAATGAACTTGTACACTCTACTGGAGTCCCGTGAAATTTCGGACTGAAATCTCATGGCGATTTCCATTTGTCAATCAGTGCGCACCGAGGTGCACACAAAAAATACGGAAAGAAAAACCGAATAATGGGGTCTTTCACTAAAATTTGAATACGTAATTTGAGTATAAAATCCCAAAGGAGGGGCTATTTTAGGCATATATACCAAAAAAAAAAGTTCTACAAGGTTAAATAGGTTTTTTACAGGCATTTCAAATTGGCTAAATTCAAATTAAATTAAAACGCGCCGATTTGCTGACGTCACATAAATATTTTTCATTTCGCTTGTTGTTACAAAGGAGCTTACCGCCTCGGCTGTGTACCCTGTAGTAAAAGCAGGTAAAGGTTCGAATGCGCTGTTGTCGGTGGTGACTAGATGTAGTGCAACGTAAAAAAATAAAATAAAACTAAACATACAAAATTGTATTAAATTGTGTTTAAACATAATTTCAATAAAAAAGTTATAAAATCTTGAATCCATAAGTGATTAATTTAACTACTTTTCATGATATTTTGCGAAAATTTCAGAATTAAATCTATTACAAATTTTCAATGTTGACAATTAGTGGCAACACGGTCAAATAGCGAGCTGCGACGTCATAGAAATAAATTCTGGGTTTTTATTTGGAGGTATTTCTTTCTTTTCTGTTTTCTCAAGAAGGACTATGAATTTTTCAAAAGTAAAAATACAGAAAATTCTGTTTTTAGTTGCTTTATCCAAATATGCCAATTTCAAAAATTAGTGAAAGAGCCCATTGATACAAAAAATATATGTAGCCCAAGTTATGTTTTGATATACATGGATTCAAAATATCTAAAAATGGCGATATCTCAAAAAACGGCAAACAACTTTTCATTAGGGTAAATATGGTCAAACAGCTTTCAAATAACCCCAACTATCACTCATTGAAATATTCCTATCGATGTACCAAAACACTCTGTATATTAAGGTCTATTTTTAACTAATAATTTATTTAGAAAGCGTTTACATGAAATTATGAAAAAGCGTGTCACGCGCATACTTAGGCGTGATGTGTGACAACCATAAAAAAATCGTGACAATCACGCCTAATGCGTGACGCCTGGCAACCCCTACCCACATGGTGTGGTGGGAGTTGGCATCCACAACCGATTATAAGGTGTTTGCTCATCCATTCGCAAATATCCATTGTATACATTGTAGAAAAGACTGATTTACCCAAAATTGCGAAAAATAACAAGATCTGCCAGTCGGGTGTCCCATCAGCTTCAATGCTCACGATAGTACCTATTCATCGTTTCAAAATTTCGGACTCGGTTTCTCGTCCCCTCGCCTAACGTGAATATATCTATTATTGGTAACAATGTTATTAGTACTGAGGACTGCAGAATGTCAAATTAAAACTTTACGTCACCTAAATTCAGTATCGGTCAGTACTGGAAATGTTACCAGTGTAAACAAGCAGGTGCTTATATACAAATGGGTACGATGCAAATTAAAAATAAAGGGTGTCCCAGCTGAGAATGACCCATTTTAAATGCTTATAACTTATGAACCAGGAGTACTAGCCACCTGCGGATTTCAATCTCTCTTGGATGGTCTAAAGTTTTTTCTTTTTTCAGTAAAAAAAATCCGTGTTTCAACATCAAAATTCTCAACTAGCTTAAATGGAACACCCTGTATTCACACAACAAATAAAAGAGTTTTGTCTAAGGTACTCATGTACCAATAAATATACTGATCTTAAATCTTCAAATTTTATCTGTATTTATCAGGGCGAGGGGTTTTTCACCTTGTTAATCGGTTTACCTACAAATCACTGGTTAATATAGGTATGTCAATACCAATGAACTATACCAGGTAAATACTATGTCAATAGTGTCAATACTATGCAATACCTACTTGTTAATTATGTAGGTAATATATGTCAATATCTAGGCAATATAAAGTCTGATTTTTTTTTAAAGATAATAGACCTATCTATTTTACCAGACAAAGAGGTACTAATACGAAAAGTTCCAATAACAACTTTAGATTTATTCTTGTCAGACCACGTGCAATGAACAAGGACAAAGAGATGCCCAGCGTGCAAAACGATCACTTCACACCTGTATTAGCTAGCCAATAAAAAGACATTGCCTCGTGTTGCGCGCGCATACCAGGCAAAAATAGATAGGTCTATTCCCCAAGTCAAAAATTTAGTAACTATAGGTATTTGTTGGCAACACGAGCCTTTTCTACATAAAAAATATGATAGCATTGACAATTTTACATTGTATTGCCAACATAATATCATTTTGACTTTTATCTTTAAAAAAAAAACAGAAAATATGTTAATGTCGTTGGTTGATACCCATTAATAACATGTAAATACCTGTGGATATGTCAATACCTAGAATGCACCTTTCTCAGTTTACCTGTACTGCGCGCTCCGCTTGTGGGTGACATATAATAAAATTAAAATTGTCCATTGAATGAACGCGGAACGCGGTCTGGGGTGCGATTTTCGAAACCATTCGAGTACATTTCGTACACGGAATTTGACTGACAGCAATGTAAATTAAATGGGAAGCAGTCAAATTTCGTGTACGAAATGTACTCGAATGGTTTCGAAAATCGCATCCCTGACCCTGACACCCCACACAGGTATCACGCGTCATTATTATGTGTCTCTTTCTTTATTGCAGAAGTCTTGATAAACTTTCCTTGTTGTTCATTGCATGAGAAAGGTCCCTTCTGGCGTAACAAATATTTGTTTTTAGTCTGTCAATCGCATGGCAATACCTGGTAATATGTGATAATACTCTAGGAAAATACCTGGCAATAGACGAGTTCGAATATTACCTCGCGGATGAGATGTAGATGAGATGGATATTCAATCACGTGGGCGCAGATGTGCTCGATTTCCTCCGTTTTATTCGAACGCTTTTTTGAAGCTGATGTTTATTTTGGTCATATGTTTCGGTAATCCTAACCTATTTTTGTAAAAACATATTTAATTTGTATTTTATATCATATCCATTGTCAATTTTTCATATTCATTTGTTAGAGTAATATAGTGCACTGAGAGTGAAAGCCGCAAGCGCCTAGCAATAGAACATAACCTAATATAATAATGTAACCAAAAATATATGCTTTTGTAACTCACGTTTAATATTTTATAATAAATTAATGATTAAAGTAATTAGTTAGAAGTTCTCTATCATGAAAGACGTAAATCAACCCCCCAGATACTGTAATAGGTTATTGTAGTAAACTCACCCTATATTTAAGTTGATAGTACCATTCTGTATACATTCCAATGCTTTTTATTATATTGTTTACATTAACCGTACCGTGAGTACCCAGAAATATATCATCTTTTTCACTTACGATTCAGCAACGAAATAAGGCGTTTTATTTCTCCCGCAAATAATAAATTTTATAAATTAAATAAATTAAATAATTATAAATCAAGTCAAATTATTACACTGGCGCAGTCGGTAATTGTGATTAAATAATGTCGATTGGCAAATTGGAACCTTTCAAAATCGGCGAGGGAAATTGGACTTCGTACATAACAAGAATGGAGCAGTATTTCAAAGTGAATACTATCAAAGAAGAAATGAAGACAGCAATTCTGATTACTGCAGTAGGGGACGAGGTTTTTGAATTAATGGTAGACCTTTGTAGCCCAGCGAAACCAGAAGATCAGACTTTCGTCGGGTTGGTAAGCTTACTAAAAGATCATCTTCAGCCAACTCCGTCGGAGATCGCCGAACGATACAAATTTCGCCAAAGGAGACAAGATAATGGAGAATCTATGGCAAGCTATATTGCGACGTTGAAGAAATTATCCAAAAATTGCAATTTTGGGGCTAATTTAGAAACCCAACTCCGTGACCAGCTGGTTTTTGGCCTTCGAAATGACGCGGTAAGACAACGTTTTTTTCAGGAAAAAAAATTGACTTACAAAATCGCCCACGACATCGCCGTGAACATGGAAGCGGCGGAAATAAATTCAGGCTTGATTGCACCAGAAGGAAATGTCCAGCATGTATCCAGAACACAAAAAACATCGGCACCAGTCCAGGGAAAATCTAGCAATTTTTCCAAGAATGAAGCAGGAGGCAGTAAATGCCGCCATTGTGGGAAAACGAATCACTATAGTCAAATATGTTTCTTCAAGGATGCGAGGTGCAATATATGCAAGAAAAGAGGCCACATTTCATCAGTGTGCAGTCAAAATAAGGGTAAAAATTTTAAATTTAATAAATTTGTCGATTTAGCAGAAGACAGAGTTAATTCTGATGATTCCGATGAGGAATTGAATTTCTTTAATATAACACATAAATCTGAAAAACCTCTGAAAATCAAATTGAAGGTGGAAAATGTGTCAATATTAATGGAGGTCGATACTGGATCACCAATTTCTGCTATTTCGGATGAATTTTATGTAGATCATTTCAAAAATGTAACGTTAAATGCTTCAAAATTAAATTTAAAATCATATGCGGGTGACTTGTTAAATACTTTAGGGTTTATTTGTGTAAGCGTGGATCACGAAAATATTGTGCAAAAGTTGAAATTATTTGTCGTAAAAAATGGAGGTCCTCCAATTATTGGCAGAAATTGGATCAGAAATTTAAATATCTCGGTAGATAATCTACTAAATATTAATCAGTTAACGCAATT